TCCTTTTCCAAAATATTCTCTTTAAAGTGCGATGCACTGTACAAATCTTAATTCTCGTATTTTATTCCCTTATCTTTTCATCAACAGATATAATGACAATATGTACCGAGTGTATCGTAACGTGTATACTTATTACGCGGAAATAACGTTAAACCGGTTTATACCAATGTAATTAGCATTGCATTGTCATCAAATTACACTTTTCGCAGCGACAGCACGGCGCAATTATACCTCTCACACGTGTTGCGTCGATACGAGAGACTCATATCAATTACCCTTTGCTCGACAACTGCGTGAGTGTGTGTGCGTATGTACGTTCATCATTTGTCAAGTTTGCATTAATCGTAATATGATTAATGTCAGGGTTCGCCAGTGCGCTTTGTTAAAATTGTGACATTATTGCAGTAATAGTAATTAATGGAAAGATTATAATAAAAACAAAAGAGTGAACTACTATTTGAAAAAAAAAAAAAAATTTATGAGAAGCATATTTTATACAATTTTTTTGCAAAATCTTATTTTCAAATTTTCTCAACTTTTAATGTATATGTAGATATTTAGAAGAAATGCAAAATAATTAATACACTCGCATCTATAAACAACTCTCATTAAATTAAGTTGTTTGACCAATTAAATAAAGATAACATTAAAATTAAATAAAAATAAAAATATTTGAATAATTCGTTGCTCTTATTACGTTTTTGCTATCATTCTTTTTATAAGCCTCCAGTATTTACAGTGCACGATTGAGCAAAGATAACGAGCAACAGTAGAACTTTGCGTACTTCGTAAAACTGCGTTTGGTAACTGCATTGCGTTCACAATGATGCGGAGATATTAACTAATGCAATTATAGATGAAGTCTTTTATACGAGAAAGGGAGCGGGAGAGAGAAATAGAAGGAGCGTCGCGCAACGCGATGTTCTGCAACGGCAATGCAGCGGTATGCGTGCGCGATTACGACGCGCGCGTATCTACATAAATTAATTGTGTGATACGCATGCGATGCGTAATGGGCCGCACACACCGTGTGCACGGCCTGCATAATAATTGCGCGTACATAAACCGAGAGGCTTCGGATATAACGTTCGAGTATCGTTTGCTTTACCTACAAACGCGCGTTTGCCGACGGTAATCGTTATCTAATGAAACAGTCGGCCAGCAAATAGAGTTGGATTGAATTTACTGTTACCAGTACACACGGCCAGAATTTACCGATGAACGCCTAAAATCAATAAAGTCTATTTAACAGTTACTTTACAGTTCGCGCTGATATTTCGAGTCTGCAATATTTGCAATCGCATGAACGTGTGGCTCTAACTCATCACTCTTGGTTTTCTGTGCTATGTAAATTTTCTATATCCGTTTGGTACAGCACGATCGTTCTATCATCTGTAATTGTATTCTATACGAAACGTCTCTCTTTATATATACATTATCGTTATCGTATCTTTCGTAACTAAATCTTTTTTCCTAAATAATATCGTAAAGAAATATTTTTCTACTTGAAAACATACCGTGTATTTTCAACGATATTTATCGTACTGTCAGTCAGGTAGAAGAAAGGTTCATTACGAGAGTAGAACTGTAAATTTCCATAGTATGCTTCCTGATACCGGAAAATTTTCTAGCTATTTTCTTTTTATTCCCATTGCCTTCGTAATATTATACTTACGCGAGACCAATGATATTTCGCACGGCGGTCATCTCTCCGAGCTTCAGTTTATCTCGTTGAGGTTAAATAAGGAAAAAGAAAGATAAGCGAGAGCCGGAAGAGAAGTGAAACGAGAGATTGAGAGGAAAGAAGACCGGGAGGGGGGGGGAGAGGGGATCTGAAAAAGGAGAAAGAATCTACACCGAGAAATTGCGAGAAAACGTGGCAAAGCGGCATAAAAAGACTGGAGTGGAGGGGCACGTAGAAAAGAAGAGTAGCCTAAAGGGATGAGAATCTCCCCGCAAGCTGGCAGCAAATCGGACTTCATGCTTTTTGAGCTTTACTGGACAAAGTAAAAAACTCTCTGTGCGCAGGAATAGGATAAATCCATAAATTCACACAATCTCTTTTCACGTAATTTTATATCAAAAATGGACTTCACAAATCACGGATCGCTATTATACCGAATCTTTATCACTTTTGCGTTTGTTGCGAGAAAACCGCGCTCGTTAGTCGAAAGGATCCCTAAGGATATTTGTTTAAGCACCGAGACCACAGTGTTCTCCACAAATTCCTGTGGAATTTACACTTTGAGAGTTCTCGTATATTTTCAGGACGAGTTACCTTCCGTACCGAGCTTGTTGTCGACTTTTTTAAAAATTGTGGCACCAACTGCGAAATAAATTTCTGTTTCCTTAATCGTATTAATAATAATTAATAATAATTAATATTCGATCTTATTAATGAACTCACTTTGCCCTAAGTTCACCTCGTATTAATAATTTTAGCATAATTTTACGTCAAAAATATTCGTAATAATAACTATACTTGCAATTTAATCGTTATTCTTAAAACTTATTTAATTATTTTAAAATATAATACGTTCTCAAAACTCAGCTAAGGCTATAATACTTATAAAAGTATGTAAATACAGAAATTAATTCTCCACAAGTTACACTTTTCTCGTAATGTATATTATAAATATCGTTACAGATTCTTCAGGCGACTCATTAATATCTTTTTGCATATAGACGCAACAGCAAGATATTAAAATAAAGAACAATTTATTATTTCTTTCCTGTTCGTGCGGCTTACTGTCCGCGTGAGAAAAAAATGGACAATACCTAGGTGAAAAACAGCACGCGAACGTAATTTTAAAGTCCACGACACGACCCTGAAATAAATGCCGCGGTGCGTCGTATAATTGCCGAGGTGTTCCCCGCACCGTAAAAATAGTGGTCGCGTCGCGAGAAACGACCCGTGAACCGACAAAACGACCACTGTTTCCCCATTTCTCGATCGTAAGCATAACCCGCGTTTAAGCTCAACGACGCAAAACTTCCGCTCGGTGGGATATCCTCTCGCGTCACTCAAAAATACACGGCGGCGAGCACCGCTTGCGGCGCACACAGCCAACTAAACAAACCCTGGGTGTAGATTTATAGACGAGCGACACCCCGTTGGGAAATCAACATCGTCTGCGCTTTCAGCGATCTCGCGAAGGAGAGCGAAACTTTTCAAGTTTTCATTGACGACACACCGGTACACTGAAAGCAGGACAGATAGAAAGATAGACAGATGGATAGACAGGTAGAAAGAAAGACAAGAAGGAAAGAGAGAGATCGCGCGCAAACATCACATTCGAATCCTTAATCTTTTTTTAATATCAGATCCTTTAATTCTAATCCCATCGGATTTATTTTTAAATTTAAACATATGCAGTTATATTTATTTTCTAACATATATTTTTAATCTATAAACAATAAGTATAAGCGTATTACAAATTAAATATTATCTATATTATATTATAATTATATGTTATATGAACATGTTTTTTTCTTTGCTTAAATAGATGAATCTATATTAAATCAAATAATAAATTAAAATATTTAAATACAAAATCAAGTCATTAAACTAAGTCATGAATATCATCTACTTTGAGAAGAATTTCTGATCGAAAAAAAAACAAACCAGATTCTGATCATATCAATCGGAATTCTAGTCGAGATAATCAGATGTTCAATCATGATATTCAGAATTCTGATCGACTAATATTATGAAATCTACTGCTTCATTTTTAACCAGAAATTTTTCTCAGTGTATATATTATATTATTATACGCAGAATATGTGGATTCTACATGTTATTCGTATAAAAAAATAGAAAAACTATTCGCACTTATTTTTATTATTAATTATACTTGTATTAATTTACTTTGCTTATAGTGTATAAAAGTCATATGCATATATGTTTAATAATTAATCTCTCTACGAAAGATAATATATTGAAATAAACATTATCGTTCCAAAAAGAAGGGGTGTGAGTGTGAATCGACTTGATCTCATCGCCACCTCCGACTTCAGTCAACATTAAAATTTCAAGCTGTCACTTCCCATGGGAAATGAAATGCGGCGAACGCCCTAGCTGCAATTTAATCACGTGCAACCTCTCGAATTTCTATCTCACCAGAGTGTCGAATGTTTTGTAACTTTTCATCCCATTGCCTTTTTATTTTTGCCTATCAAAGACAGTTATGCTATGACAAAAAAATTTTAGTATCAATTTTCTATAATCTGATCGTTAAATTTCTCCATTTCTATTTATTATATTAATTTTGAATAAATAATTGGAAAAGATAATAAAAAAAAATATTACGAAAAAATATGCTATAATAAAATAATTTAAATAGTAAAGAGAGCAAAGAAAATAATTGTAAAATATGTAAAAACATATTTCATTTCTTATGTGTAATACGAATTACAACGTCAATAATTGTTATAAACTTGTCCATATGCGACAATGTGATAAACGTAAGATAGGAAAAGAAGAGACACAGTAATAGTGTCGTAATGGAGGAATCATGACACTTATTCGCACGTGCGTTTCTTAATTTCAACCCCAACCGAAACTATTCAACAGATACAACAAAAAGTAAAAAACAAAAAAGGAAGAGATAGATGCGAGAAACACGACCATATTATTAAATACCTAATTTTACTTCTATAAACACGTTATTTCTTGTTGTTTAACATAAAGAAGAAAAAAATAAATAATATTTATACTATTAATATATTTGCACATTGCTAAACTAAATTCTTAGAAAAACAAATATTAAAATATCTTTTAATTCTTCCCTTGTGTTTAGTTCATACATAAAAAGCATCTTTAAATATCGGCGCATTTAAAAAAGTGATCGACATTGGATCAATTTTAATAACATTTAGGAAATAATTTAGGAAATAATTTAACTTAGTAAACATTTTTATCATTCATTGTATTCTCTTCCATAATTCCAAGCTAAAAAAAATTGAAAGCTATATCAACGTAGCGATATCTTTATTTTCAGTGTTCAGGTGCAGCTTCAGGCGATTTTTCGGAACGAGTGGCAGCACTTTTGCAATCGTCCTCGACTCAGGACGACTGCTAGTAGTGCGCTCTATAATACGTGACGGCCCTTTCTTCCCTGGACCAGCATGTCGACGGAAGGAAGACAAAGGAGAGGTATCATCCGAAGAGAGATATAATCCGACGCGCACGGTGCATTCTAAATGATTTTTGTCAAGCTAATCTGTAAGCTTTAAAACACGTTCCGAGACAGCGTCTGTACTTTAGACTTAAGGCTCACTTTTTTTGCGCGGATGATACTGCGACATGACGACAGTGGAACGTATGGAAGTATCGAAAAGACAAAAATTCTCAGAGCCAAACGCGATCACTTTCACGAAAAACGCGCGTGAAACGAAGTGATCCTTCTCGAGATTCTTCACTTTGTATTGTTTGCGAGAGAGAATTGTTCTAGCTATCGTCAACATTGTCACTTGCAAATTAATGTGTAGCAAAAATTAAATTCTTTATTTTTACAGAAAATCTAGTATATCCTAATCTTACAATTAAACTGCTATACAGTTAAATATATTCAATCAATTCCATAATTTTATACGTGTTGAAAATCAATGCTTTATTTAGAAATATTATTTTTGCTTTATATTAATTAGAAAAGAATATTATTTAAAAATCTGTAAGAGTTTAATTGATTGACAACTCACACTCTGTCATTTTCAGAAATAAAATAAAAGAATTCTGTATTACAAATGCAAACAAATTTCGCGAAAATTTCCTCGTAATAAAATTCTACGTAGCCTGTAATATAGCCAACACTCGTACCTACAACGTAGAGTAACAAGGTCTACGAGCCACGAGTGAGAGGTGCGCTAGGATAATGTCCGATCAGAATTTTCTACCGTCGAAAAAGCGACGAGTGCGTGAATAGTGTACGTGTGCATGTCTGTATGTGTACGTGGACGTGGAGAGGTCAGGGAACGTGTGAGATAGTTTCGAACGAGCACGGTGGGTGGCTGTCGGAATGGCGGTGATCTTCCTGGTGAGGGCGCAGGCGTTAAATTTCCAGATAGCCCCGGCAAATAAGTGCGCGTAGATAAGCGCGGAAAAACCATGCCAACCTGGGGGTTAGAGAAACGAGTAAGGGGGTGCTTACGGATACTGGAAAAAGCGAAAAGAGAGCCTCGCGCTGTGAAAACGGGCGCGATAATGGCACGGAAATGGGTGTTGGCATACGTAGCGAACGAAGGGAAAGAACGACGCCAAAATTGTGAGTAACCTTTATGGGAGAGGGAATGCTCCAGAATTACTAGGATATTAGGACCGCATTCAGGAAAAATCGGTACTATTCCGGAAATGATCATTTCGAAAAGGCAAAAATGACTATAAATAGCACTGTTAATTTAAAAAATTCACATAGTAACTAATACATAAAGGTAAAAGAGTAAATATTAAGAATAAAAAATACTAAAAATTCTTTTCAATATTTTAAACGTATACAAAATTGGAAAGCAAGAGGAATTTTATATTTTTCAAGGTGAATTTTTCTATATTGTTCTTTAAATAGGATCAATTATATTCTACGCTATTTCCCGCAGGATCCGAATTTTTAATATTCCTGGGTGCAGTAGCTTCTATTTAAAGTAAGTTTCATTTAAGTTTTGTTCTGATATATTAACACGTTCTAAAAAATTTAGAAGAAAGAAGACGAAGATTTATGCTCATGAAATTGCGTTCCATTAGCTAGTGTGACTTTTTACTATCATTTAATTTTTGCCGCTGTCACGATTATACGAACGGTTGCGATATTTACAGTGGGAGTGAAGGATGCGTAGCTATTCCGCGCTCTGTATATTGAATCCTGTGCAGCAAGATCTATAAATTGATGCCGTTACAGACGTTACGTATACATATGTGGAAGCATGAATATTCACGCTATGAAAGATATACCGAGGCCCGAACGCGGTGAATATCGATATTCAAGATTACCTAACCGCGAGCGAAGCGTGAAATATTTAGGTCTACGTGCCGAAATGTTCTAAAAACCGCGATAGTATATATGCGACGCATTTGCATGACACGTTTATTTCATCAGTGGCTTCAACAGATCTCAAAGCTTTTGTATTAAAAGCGGAGGGACGCAGGCACAATTTACACGGAAGAATTATAAAATTTCAAAGTTTAAAGACCATAAAAAAATATTCACAAGGTCGCGCGCATATCCGCAAAAAATTTAATGAAATATGTATAATTATAACGGAGATTAATTTTTGTTTAATTGAATAAATACAGATAAATGATTATTATATTCGATAGAATAAAACAAAATTATATATTCGAAATAATGTATAAAGATATCATATTATTGTGCTATACATATTTCATTATAAAAATTCTATATTATTTAAAAGAAATTCTAATTCAACATAGATATATATCTTTGATATCAGAAAATACGTTTCTAGAATATTTCAGAATTGGTCTCACAAAATTAAAAATCGTCAGATAATTATCCAGCCGATTATGACAGATTATACTTTCTTTCATATCCCATACAATATCACCAAAGCTGCAAAGTCCATGATGAAATGGAATCACACTATTGCTCGAGTGACTCATTCATCATAATTAATCACGTCGCAGTCAATCAATGTTGCTTTATTGGCTTTGTTACACGGCACGCCTGTTCCATAAAGCCACTTGGAATTTCCGTGCTTGAGAAAATGGGTCGTATAAGTGCAAAAATGCGAAAATATTAAGATCGTTCAATTTGTCTCACAAATGAAAGCACAAACTGCGATCACGTCAAACAGATTGCCATGATAAGATTATAAATCTTCGAAAACGTGCAGATTATTATCACTATAATCATCATAATCTCAGCAACGCTGAGATAGATCGTAACAATTTGAAACACTTAAGACATTAATAAAGCTTTATAAATATCCAAGAATCAATTGGCAAAAATCGACAAAAAATTAAAAAAAATGCAATCAATAGCGATATTATAATATATAACGATGACTCAACAATTTTAAATTTAAAATCATTCAATTTGTAAACATCAATTACGTCGACGTATATTTCATTGATTCGCGCGGGAAGTCAAGTGATAGCGATCAATTTTGATCAGACATACAGAACGTAGCGCCACTGTTATTCGTTCTTCGCCGCTACTTTCCATTGAGTATCGAATAGCGCCATTATTTCTGGGAATATTTTGCGAAACGGTACGTCGCCAAGTAGAACTGATCGAGTTTCGATTAAATTCTCGACGATGAAAGGACAACGCAAAAGCTGGCGGCGACGGGACGCTCTTTTTCTCTCTGTCTGAAAGTTCGATTTTCCTCTCGATAAATGGAAACGCAGACCCGCGGCAGACATTTCAACGCAAATAAGAATGCTAAATGAAGCTTGCTATTCAGCTGTCTAACATTATAGCACCTACAAAATATATTCCTACGAAACACTATATCGTCTCATTCATTATATCACTTATTCTCGTATGCCTGTATAGATTTCAATCAAATATTTCACGTCATCTGAATTCATAATTAATCATTTCAATCCTTCATAAATTAATGCATAAAGAAAGTCTATTGCCTCAAGCACTTTAAGATTGTCGAATTGAAAATGTAAAGGCAAGAATATTTAAAATGATCGATGAGTCACTTTTTTAATAAGCTAATTTCCATAAGCAAATCAAATCACCAAATTAAATAGGAAATATTATATATAACAAAGAACAATTCATCTAAATTAAAGGTAACTAAAAAATATGACAATTTTTATGCACTTGCTCATTTTTTATTTACTAAAAAAAAATCACAGAAGAAAACAAAATAATTAAAAAAAAAACTATCCAAGAATAATTTTTATAATTTTTTAAGATATTTTTTTATGATTGTTATTTGTTAAACTGTAAAACCCCTAATGTAATACTTTAAGTATAAAATATCTTTTTTGCATTCAACTATCAGAACTTTTTCACAAGTGTTAATACGTTTTAAGTAATATATTTCAATCCTTTAATATTAATGCAGTTTGTGCAATCAAACTGGAATCGGAAATATAATACAATACATTTTCTATAAATTCATGCGATTACAATACCATGAATAACTTCTATACCGCATACGACCTAATGATCAATTTATAATGAAATTAAATGTAGCCTGACAAAGCTACATTTTGATACAGTAGACAGTATGCGGCGTCGTTTCCGACAATAGAGTGAACCGTATGGTATAAATTGTATTTCAAAATCAATACCGCCAATGCGCCACTATGCTTTAGTTAAATTAGAATTTCACAACAATATGCACCCAATACGCGTAAATATATTAGCATAAATATATGTAATCAGTATTGGCACATTGTTACAAACGAGACAATATGGAAATGTAAATAGAAATTGGCGCATTATACATTACTACTAATCAAACAAATAGATATATAACTAATTCATATCGTTAAAGAATGACTTGTAATTAAGATTCTGAGCAATACAAACTTGAATATAATATAACAAAAATACGAACGGGTTTGCAAAAATTACTGTAAAGAAAACGGCATACCGTAATAGTTAACGTCCGCGCTATTTAATTGTAAAATATGCAGCCGCAAATAAAAATACGAGAATATGTGATTTCGAATGAACGAAAAGATCTGAGCTTCAGCAGCACTGGTATCGTCCAGTCTGTGCTTTAACTTTTGTCAGAACGGATCGTATAAATAATGCCGATACGAATAAATGTTTGCAATGAAAGCAGAGAAACGTTCGCGGAGTCCAGTTCGTTACTACGCGTGCTCGCCCTGCCGTTTTTCCGCTGACAAAGTAAACTCGATACATTTTGAAACGCAAAACAACCCGAGAACTGAAGTCTGAATGGCTAGTCGGTTGCGTGCAGCAGTTTCGCCACGACTAGTAGTAACTGTATTCATCTAGCCAGCCGCAACAACCGGCATTATTAATGCTTCCATATCGACCACATGCTACATTCAACCACGGATTATAGACACGCTGGAAACGTACACGAAACTCGTGGGATACGCCGAAAGAAGTCTTTATAGATCGACATGAACGTG